TCTTGAAAAGATGAACCCCACTTTTTTTTCCTTGAAAATGAACTGAACCCCAAAACAACAACATTGTCAATCCTATTTACACTGCCGTCGTTTAAAATTATCATCTGACAAAAGGGACACTAAAAGCTCTCTCAACCTCTCTGCCCCCTCCGTAGTTCTAAGAATAACCATACTATTTCCCCCAAACACCCAGGCACCAACCTCCCGGCACGAGCATCCCGGGCCCACGGGACAATAATTCTCTATATATTTAAAAAAAATGGCAAAGGAACTATTATGTTTTACACAGTTGAACAGTTTTACTGCTTTATTACTTCTAAACACACAAGATGATTTTCACATGTGCTTAAAACAAATTACTTTGATCATAGGGTATCATCCACTGTTCCAGTGAGATAATCTCTGAGTAGTTTTAGAATATAACAAGTTCATCAAAAGTGAATTAAGTTATATCAATATCATTTACATCGTTATTTTATCACGACAGCTTATAACCTAGTGGTATTGTAGACCCTACTGCTGGGCAGAGGTTCGGGGTTCAAAACTCTTGGGTGCATGACTTGCATGAGTTATACACCAATTTTTAAGGTCATTTAGAAGAAAACAAAAAGATTTTCCAAGCTTCAAGCTTTGGGACAACTATGTTCCATTCTTTCGTTCAAACTTTCTTAGACTTTCATAACAGGCAGAAAAATAAATAAAAACCATTAAGAAACCAACCCTGAATGAGGATCAGTCAAAATCTTATCTGACCATTCATTACAATGATTTCCACCACAAGATCTCGCCTCCGTTTCTCTGATGAATTTGAAAACTGAACGAGATAAATATCCGGTTTTGTTTGTTAAGCTATGAACTTGAGTTAATAGTAAAAAGTATGAGACGAAAAAGATGTTAGACAAACAAAAAAATTAACATAGGGAAGGGAAGTATATTTCAGTAGAGAATATACATTCAAAATCAACAAAGAGATACAGAATACTGAAACAGATCATTTTCAGTCAAAACTTTAAGCCTACCAATATACTAGTTGTCCTAAAACATCCAAAAGAAACCCAGGAACAGAAAGCACTTGCCTTGCTTCAGCAAACTTCCACTCTCACATTCCAAGTAGTCTCATTCAGCAAACTTGGTCTTCAAGAGCAAATAATTGAAAGGCCGTCGGGCAGAGCAAAATTCTTTCTCAAAACATCGGATCGAGCCAAGGTACGCTCGAGGATGCCTGACCACCACTCATGGTCGAGCGGCAAGTCGGGGTCGCTGTGGAAGTTCTTAGGCATTTCGGGAAACCGTGTTCCATATGGCATCCAAATCGAGCTCCAAGAAATTGGAAGCTTCGAGAGCAGCGAGGTCGGTCCTCCCTTGCTCTCCAGCAGCCCTCTCCTGTTCCCAAGCAGCCCTCTCCTGTTCTCGAGCAGCCTTCTCCAGCTCGAGAGCAGCCTCCTTCGCCTCGAGCGCAGCCTCGAGGGCTTTGATTTTCGCCTCGTACTCCAATTGTCGCTGGGTAAGCTGGTTGACTCTGTCTTGCAGCAGACAAGCTTCTTTCTCGACTGAAGGGATCGATTGGCCCGCGCTGGACACGAGCTGATCGATCAGAGGAACCAACTCGACCAAAGCCTGTTTTCATCCCAAGGAAAAGGAATAAGTACGTAAAGAATAACAAAAACAATAAAATATAGGAGGACGAGGTAAAGCAGAGTGGAAAGTGTAAGGTTACCTGCGCCAACCATCTGACGAGGCGATGTCCCCGAGTCTTTAAATCCGAGTCATCTTGGAGGTCGGCAGCAGGGATCATGTCCTTGAAATAGGACAATATCTCCTCCTCGCTGGCCTTGGCAAACAATGCAAGAGGACGACGCTTCCCTTGAGCTACCTCGATCAGCTCGGGGTTGGGAGAATTTGAAAGCTCGATCACTGGTGCGGTCGAGTCTGCGGGGGGAGAGGATGGCTTCTGCTGCTCGACCACAGGATCGGTCGGTTGTTTTGGAGGAGATGAAGGGATGGCACGTTGCTCGATGAATGGAGAGGGGGGTCTTTGTTCCCCATGGTCGAGGGGCTGCTCCTGGGGAGGAGTAGAGAGCACCTCGAATTCCTGTTGGGAAGGAAGGGGGCTGTGAGGAGTGGTCGAGCTGGACGGTGGAGAAGTTGACTGTTGAGCGGATTTCTTCTTGAGAGGAACTCTCCTCTTGGGTAGGGAAATAGCAGGCATCTCTGCAATAAACCACAAGAAGGTTAGCATAGCAATAAATAATTTGTATACGAGCCACTGTTTTAAATAGCTCGCTATGTTAATTTTTTTTTCTGAAAAACGTGACGTAGCTTTATATATTTAGCGTTTTTCCAGAAAAGCTTACGCTAAATGCTGAAATAGCACGATATTTTACGCTATTTTGCGCTACTTTACACTATATTTCTGCAACGACATTTTTTAAACAATAAAATATATAAAAAAAAACTTGTATTTTTTAGGGGTTGGAGTTATATTTTTAAATGACAACAAAAAACTAAAAATTTTGATAATGATTTCAAATCATAAGTTTCAAAATGCAAAGTCCTAAGTTGAATAATGCAATATATATCGGTCCAGGTCTATTATACCATTATATTTGGGTATTTGACATAACATTTAAATTTAAGAATAAAAAGTTCAGATCTAGTGGTTAAAATTAAATTGTAATTAATAAATTAAAAAGACTACTTACTAAGTATATGTTTAAAATTATTATCGAGGGGCTGCTCTTGTGGAGGAGAAGAGAGCACCTCGAATTCCTGCTGGGAAGGAGGGGGGCTGTGAAGAGGAGTGGTTGAGCTGGACGGTCGAGAAGTTGACTGTTGAGCAGATTTCTTCTTTAGAGGAACTCTCCTCTTGGGTAGGGAAATAGCAGGCATCTCTGCAATAAACCACAAGAAAGTTATCCAGCAATGTTTCAGAACTCTCCACTTGATGTACTTATTTCACAAATTACACCATCAAGAAGGGAGTGTTGTTAAGTAATAAAAATCTTCATGGAATAATTCTGATTAAGAAAAATAATTAGATATTCACTATGTGCCAAACATCAGGTGAATTTCGGAAATTTATCCAGCATTGTGTCGTTGTTGTTGTTGTATTGTTTCAGGACCTATAAAGAGAATGGCAAAGATTCCTCCAGAGTGATTTTTCATTGATAAAACAAAAGGTACAAGGCAGAAGCAGATTTTAAGTGAACGGAAATCCAGATAGAATTCAAGTTTAACATTCTCCACTAATGAGCTATCAAACAGATCTGAAAACAAAATAAGCCATCTTTACCATAACATGTTTAACCCTATCGACATTGTAAACACCTTTAAAAGCCAAAGGAGCAGCGTCGGACATACCTTTTGCGCTCAAGTTCTTTGGATCTTGCTGCTTGAAGTAGAAACTCCGGTGGTCAAGAGACTTGAAATGGTTTTGTGAATATATTTCAGCCCATATTTTGTTGAAATCCAACCGGCACTTGGTCCATTCCTCCTGCTTCTGCTTAAGACGGACTAGGATAACTGGCAATGCCCGAGACGCATTTTTACACAAAATGTCCACCACATCAACACCATGGTAGCCATATAGGCGTGCAATGCATCTTAAGTTTAAAGCTGAAATTAAAAAAATAATAATAATAAGATGAAATAGAAAAAGTACTCCATTACAAGAGAAGTTGCATTACTTTTTGCAAGCAACATAAGAAATCAAGTATCTCTCACCATTAGTACTTATTTCACAATTCTAAACAAACCAACCTGAGAAATACTCCCCAACTTTTATAGGACCATCTGAACCAATCGTATTATTATTGGTACTGTTCAACAGCTCCTCTGCCCACTTGACAGTTGAACTGACAGTCTCCAACAGCATGTCTAGCTCAAATCTTATAGAAAATCAAATGCAGAAATATTTCTCCATTAGTAAAAGCCGAGGCATCAACTAGAGCAATCATAAATACGGCTACGTTATACTAAACCAAGGGTTCATTGCATTAGTTTACAATATGTGGTATAGAGCAGACTAGGATATATGAGGATAATTAATACACCAGCAACAATATGAAGTGGCAATAGGAGATGACGCGAAAATAATGCACGTAAGAGAATACAGCAAAGCCCATTAAGAAGATCTCATAAATTCCTATATCTTATAAGTTGGTTTTAGAGTTCAGAAGATCTTCAATCTTAAATTGAAAATATGTTATTTACTGCTTCGATAAAATGAGAAAATAGAAATTATAAGATGTAACAGCAGTTTGGTAATTAAGATTTATCAAAATTAAAGGAAATTGTCAAAGACCTTATTTTGGAAAATGACAAATGAGATCTCCACTTTCCTAAAAACACACACAATTTTAATATCTTCTTTGGGGGCTTATAAGATCTCATAAAGGATAAAATAAAGAAAAAGAAAGCCAAACACTTTCAGAGAATTTACGCTAATAAACATCCAATGATATGTTTCGGTCAAACACCTAAGCCCCTATCATAGTCAATCATACAATCTACACATAAGGAAAAAGGATCTCAAAACTGGAAAACGTACAAGTTGTATACCTATCATCTTCACATCTAAACAAGCTTTCTTCATACTGGTTTCTCCGCATGTGTTTAAAAGCGTAATCCTCACTGCCAGATGACACCCAATGATCATTTAGAACTTTGGCGTCAAGGTCTGACTTCTGGCTAGCTGTAGGTATCGGGTACTGCAAAAGGTCACAAAGATCGGTTCAATAAGAAGAGATCACACATGCAGTAAACAGGGATTTCCTAAGTATTCACACAAATGCTTACCTCTTTAGGAAGTAGCCGATAACTGGGAGTGCAACGTTGACAATTTGAAAGGTCGAGCTCTTGAATAGACTTTTCCCAATATTTTAAATTGTATCGTTCCTTATCTTTTCCTCCTTGTGCTGAGGTGTCAGGCAAAAATCTAGTGAACTCATCAAGAAGATCTGAATGGTCTTCAGAAAGTGTCGCAACCTGCAAGATAGAATACACAAAGACCCTATATTTAAGAAGGAACTACTTAGTGAAGTGGGAGATTGATATAGAAACACATGCAGACCTCTTGGTAAATAATCATCTTCCGAAATTATAAATGCACCAAACCATTTAAGTGATCTTCGTAATTTTGGAAGATAATTAGTTTTCTTTTTTTTTTTCCCCTTTTTACTTAAGACTGGACTTTTAAGGGCATTTTTTCGATAAAGCCTCCAAACTCACCTTGATCTTGTTGACAAAACTAATTGCCTCTTCAAACTCAACCGTCCTTTCCGGCGGAGCCTCATCCTCATCAGTGAGGGTAATTTCATACCCCTTAGGTAAAAATGTGTTGAACCCCAGAATTAAATTAGGATGACCTTTAAATAACTCTTTCACTCTACCTATGACGCAAGCAGCAGTATCGATCCTGCCCAAACAAGAAAAGGAATAAATGAAGGTTTAATGATAAGATTCCAATCGAATCCCAACACACGTAACAAACTTATTCTACTGAGAGATGCATGTTCTCTTACCTTTGTGCCTTAATATCTTCCATTACATCAAGGAACTTATCATACTTTTCTCGTTGATCTTGAAACATGTCCTTGACCTCTTTCAAATAAGTCAATGCATCATTAGTGCTGAGTTTTTGTGTACTTGCAGCAGCAACACTTGTACCACCACCTCCATTATCTACAGCACCGCCATTAACACTGCTGCCGCCACCTACTCCACCAGTGCAGCCGCTGCTGCCCACGGTAGGGTTTGGCGGGGCATGCCTGAGAACATAAATGGAAAAAATATGAAGAATCAAATTTATGATCTATATCTACCACAGAACAGCTCAAAGTTACTTAGAGAAGAGCCGCAGTTACGATATATGTAAATCAGCTGCTGAGACAGCAACTGTGATCTTTAGTTTAGTTTCTTTCTCTTGTTCTTCAAGATGTATGTTTTTGTTCCGTTTTGTGAAAATCACATTTACTTACCTCTTAGGTTTATCAATAAAGGCCATTCCTTTTTAGCAACGATCTTTTAATATAGGGTTTCTAGCAAAGATCATTCAGCTGTAACGAGCATTCAGCAAACTGGGATGGTCCATTATAGATAATCTTGATTACGCAGTCAAAATAAAATCATATAAGAAACAAAGAAAATACAAAAAGCGAATAAGACATAAGCACGGCCCATTTTAAAGATCTAGTTTTCTTGTAAATACTGCGCACAACAATCACAGAAATTATAACTATAGCATGTTAATCTTCTAACCTAGTTCCTCGTCCTATCTGCAGAAATTCTCAAAACTGCAACTTTAGGTGAAGACCCAAATTGAGTCCAGATACAAAGCAACAATCGGTGCTGAAAACAATTCTCGATCAGATAATTACCATTGAATCCTGTTAATTACGCTTCACCCATATCACATCAAAACCACACTCTTTAAACCTCAAAAAACAAAAAAAAAATCAAAAGAAACAAATGGAAGTAAGCTGGTAGTAGAAATGCTTCAGAGCAGCCTGAAGTCCCAAGTCCAGAATCAATTGGGAGCCAAATGGTGGAGTGTGTAAACACTCATCAGGAAATATCTCCTACACTTTTATCTCTTATACCAGAAAATGCAAGTCTCTGCATCTTGGAATCTCAACAACAGAATCTCCATAAGGAGTCTGAAACACTAGTGGGGTGTGAAACTATGGACACAGGAGAACTCCAAGAGCACCATCTGGTTGGAAGTGATTGTAACCTCTCTCCACTGAAGAACAACGACGAATTAACCCCCAAAGAGGAATTCTGGTACCCTAATCTCGCTCTCCCAAAGAGAATTTTACCCCCCTTCATGAGGAATTTCAACATAATATTTTTAATTCTCGATGCATAGGGAGTAGCAAATAGACAAGGAATTTGAAAAAAAATAAAAATAAAAGAGAGACTCACGATTCAACACGAGATGCCGGACTAAATGGCCGCTTATATTGAGGGTTCACATACACATCGTCTCGCAAACGCTTCATCCCTCTGCAAAACACACCAACTTCACGTAGAAAACCGGAGCCGGAGAAGAAAACATTATCCCTCTGCAAAACACACCAACTTCACGTAGAAAACCGGAGCCGGAGAAGAAAACATTAGGAAAAAAAATCTATTTATGAAATAAATACTGACCTGTGAAGTGTGAAGTTTCAGGGAAAGGGAAAAAAGCCAACAGATCTATTCTAAACAGCCGAAAGACGGAGCATACAGTTCAAAATTATCACTGCAAATTTATTTTCTACAAAGCCAAAGTCTATAGAACAAAATGGAGGAGGGAACGAAGAGGTAAAGGCGAGAATTATGTGATGTTTTATTATTGCGATATACATACATTACAACGAGAGTTATTTGTCACTAGCTTAATTTGTCACTCTAGCTTAATTTTAATTTTAATTTTAATTTTGAGTTTTTTTGAAGTTATATATTGAATGATTGTATGTACTATGTATGCATAATGTGCATTAATTTTATATTGACAATTTATACTTCCTCCTATTTTTATTATTTGTCACTTTAGGTTAATTAATCATTGGTTAAATAAATATCGTTTTGTCTAATTTGTTCATATTTTTCCATTTTTAATCATCCATCTAAGAGCATCTCCAGTGTTTGATGATGTTGTAGAAAAAAACATGTCACGTGATAAAAAATTAACTATCAATCCGCATTTTGCCTTCCAATAGTAAAATAAAAGATAAATGTTGTGTTGAGTTAGCAATAATTATTTTCTACATCCTTCTCCACTGGATGACTCAGCAAATTTGGGGAGAAAGACAAAACGAAATTCTCACGACCAAAATATGGTGGGAAAAATTGGCGGGTACCCAAATTTTTCCAATCGTGAAACTGGAAAAGATTCTAACATTTTCTTCTTGTACATCAGAACCAACAATTACTTTGTCGAAAAATTACAATTCTCAAGTCAACAAAAAGCTTCTGGTACTTGATTCTTTTTCTTTTCTTCATTGTGTATGCGGCCAGGTCGCTCTGTGATCCTTTGAATCGAAAAAGTGGCATTGCTTTCTTTTCCTATTCGGTAGATGAATTTTGATATTTTGGGTTGTAGTCAGGATGTTTGTAGAAGATTCTTCTCCATGGAAACCCCTTTTTCCCTGTTTCATTTCAATTTCTACATAAAAAGGTTCTTGTTTAATTTTTTTTTTCTATTTTTGTTCATTTTATGTAAATTTCTCTAGTTTAGTCAATTTCTTTATGGCAAAAATTGGTGATGCAAATTGTAATGACTCTGAATTCAGTTAGGGGGTGGTCTCTTTGTTTCTCTATACAGTTTTGGGTGTAGTTTGTGTTTGCTTTGGGAAGTTATGTCAATAAGGATTCAATTTTCATTCAAGTTTTCTTGGCTTTTTGTGAGATTCTAAGGAGCCTATTCTGATATCTGGACATCTAGGGAGAGTTTTTTTCTTCAGAAGGAACAAAAATGGCTAAAAGAATGAGACCCATTGATCCATTTCAATTTTTCATAGTTTTAATCTTAAGGATAAAGGTAGGTAGCTGTAGAAGAAAATGAAACAAAAAAGTTTAATGTGAGGTGAAAATGAGATGAATGGGGCCATACACAATAGATTAGAAGCTACAAAAATAGAAAATCTTGCTACAAAGAAAATGAGTTGGTTTTAATCATTGTCTTCTGCAGCATGGAGTAACCAATAGAAAATGATGCAAGCTTTTTTCTCTCATCCTACCTTTTGCCCATGTAATATAAATAAAAATAGAAAATTTAAAAAAAGAAAAAAAAAAAAAACTAATATCTGGTTATGGGATTAAAAAGGTGATTTTTAGCAAAGCACTCCAGACCTTATTTCTTGCTCTGTATAGCGTGTTTAGCTGATGTATCGGTCATATTCTTGCTATTTTTAACCATTATTTTGAATCAAAATTGTGATAACTAGACTTAAATGCAGTCTTGATAACTTGATGTTGTTTGTGCTGGACCATAGTAAAACAATCCAATTATTGTAGTAACTGTGATGGTGTGGATAAAATCTTTCCTCATTAATATTGTTTTGTTCAACTTTTTTGAAATTCTTCTTGTTTATAAAGATAGTCAAAGATCCAAAAGACTTCAATATCATGTCAAATTCGGATCAGCGCTCTAATTATGACTTGGCATCTCAATTTCCAAATCCACATGTTCATCAGAACTCCAAATCTCATCCTCCTGGTTTTCATTGGAATTCAAGTGGATTACATCCTTCTCATCTTGACCTACAATATGGAGCCACTTCTACGTTTCAAAGCCTGCTGAATGCTCCAATGGTAATCAATCAAAGTGGTGTTAGCAATGCTCATTTTCCTATCTACACACCAATGACCAATTTTTAGACTCCTGGTAACAATTCTTTGGGTAGTAATCGAATTCAGGTTAGCACTCCAATGGTTCATCTCAAATTGGTGGTAACACCACGGGCATGAACAATCAGAATGAAGTAACACCAAAAGGATTAAAAAAGAGAGTTAAAGATGTCCGAACATCAAGTGGCAAAAAGGATTGGGGTGTAGAAGAAGAAATAGCTTTGACGAACGCATGGTTGAATGTGTCTTTGGACCCTATTGTTGGTAACAATAAAAAAGCTACTGCCATGTAGATCCATATTCATCAAGTATGGAAGGAAAACATGGGGCCTGAGTGCAAATATCTTAGATCGTCTAATAGTTTACAATGTCATTGGTCCATAATACATGCAACGGTAAACAACTTTGTAGGACATTATTCTAAACTAGAGAGGCATCCTCAGAGTGGTACAAACTCAAAAGACTTGGTAGGTATATTATGTTACGTTAAATATTTTCATCCCAAAATAATTTTCTTGTTATCTATCTAACTACTTACCCCATATCAATCAACGGCATAATATAAACATATGATAAACAAAATGCTACTTATTGTGTTGTGCAAAAGAACATACGAGAAGACTATTGTTGGGAATGTCATTGAACAAATAAGGGGTCATACAACCTTCCACAACTAACCAACCCCCCAAAATCACTGATTTGTACGGAGGGTTCTGTCCCTCACATTTACCAATCAACAACATCAGCAAAAGCCATGAACAGGAGTAACACCAAAACACTTGCTTCATCATGCTTAACTTAAAAATTAAAATGGCTTTTGAATTAGAACTACAGTTTTTGCGACACCTTATATAGGGGAGCGCGAATAAGACTCCCATTTTCACCTGCAGCTGAGTAAGTTTTAAAGTCAACTTGAAGTCATTAAGTAATGAACTTTGAAGAACACAGAGAAAAGGAAGAACATCGAGAGAAAAGAAAAATAAGGCGATGAATATTGAAATGAGACAAATTACTGTACAATGGTGTTGGTGTTACATATTTATACTTAGGGTTTGAGAGAGAAATGCTAAATAGTAAATGACAACTTTAACCTAACTATAGCTCTATTAACTCAAGCCTTAATACAAATAGTCTAATATACTAATACCCCCCCGCAAGATTTGCATGGATGTTATTCATGTGAATCTTGGAGAGAAAATGGAAATATGTAGACTTTGGTAAAGGCTTGGTGAATAGGTCTGCAATCTGATAAGCAGTGAGATGTAGTGAAGTTTGATGAGCCCTTTTAGCAATCTTTTCCCTTATTAAGTGACAATCAGTTTGTATGTGTTTGGTTCTTTCATGGAACACTGGGTTGTAGCAATGGCCATGGCAGATTGACTATCTGAAAATAAAGAAACTGGAGAGGAATATGAGATATTGAAGTCATCAAGTAAGTAAATAAGTCATTGAATCTCATATGAAGTTATTGCTAAAGCCCTGTACTCAGCCTCGACTGAGGACCGGCTTATAGTATTTTGCTTTTTGGGTTTCCAAGAAATTATGGAATTCCCTAAAAAAAACAGAATAGCTTGTAATACTTTTTCTTGTGTCTGGGCAGCTAGCCCAGTCACTGTCACAATAGACATTCAATTGTAAAGGAGAGGTGCGAGAGAAGAAGATACCTTTGCCCACTGTGCCTTTGATATATCTCAATATTCTGTGTGCAACAGACAAGTGTATTTTTGTGGGTTTTGCCAAAAACTGGCTAAGAATTTGAACACTATAAGATAAATCAGGTCTGGAAATAGTGAGATATAGTAACTTACCTATGAGTCTCTTGTATTCTGTAATATCAGTAAGATCACAATTATCAGTGGCAACAGTAAGTTTTAAAGAAGCAGCCATAGGAGTAGAGACAGGTTTTGAATCCAAAAAACCAGTTTCAGAGAGTATATCCAAAGCATATTTCCTTTAACACATATTTATACCTTGTTCAGAATGTGCAAATTTCAAACCTAAATATATATGAGTTTACCCAAGTCTTTAATAGTAAAACAAGAGTGCAAATGTTGTTTTATGGCAGTTAAATCATCAAGGTTGTTACCAGCAAGAATTACATCATCCACATATACAAGTAAAGCCATAAAAGAGGAAGTCTCAGCATTAAACAATGTAAACATAGAGCAATCAGCTGTAGACTGTTTGAAACCATAAGATAATAAACAAGATGTGAGTTTATGAAACCATTGCCTAGATGCCTGTTTAAGGCCATAAAGGCTTTTAATAAGCTTAAAAATTCTGTTATCAGTAGGAGAACAATAACCTGGTGGGGGTTTCATATACACTTTATCATCTAGGTCACCATGCAAGAATGCATTGTTGACATCTAGTTGATGAAAGATGTCAGTTTTTTATAGATGTTAAGGCTATGAGGAACCTAACTGTGGTTATTTTAGCCACAGGTGAGAAAGTTTCAAAATAATCAACTCCTTCCTCCTAACCTAGCTTTGTATCTTTCTATTGTCCCATTAGAATTGTACTTTATTTTATAGACCCACTTACATCCTATGCAATGTTTCCCTTTAGGCAACTCAGTTAAGACCCAAGTGTTTGTTTTTTCTAAAGCATCTACCTCTTTTTTCATAGCAGATTGCCATAAGGGATCTTTTGCAGCCTGAGTGTAAGTTTTGGGTTCATTATTTGTAGAAATTGATGCAGTATAGCAAGTATGGGTGTCAGATAAATGAGCAACTTATATGTAAGATGACATGGGATATTTTGAATGTTTTCCAGATGTGTTGAAAGATGTGTTAGATGAGGATGAGTTAGGTAAAGAATGTTTGTATATATTTAAGTAGGCAAGTGGTTTGGAAACTCTGGTTGATTTTCTGACAGGTTGTGTTGTTGTCTCTGGTGAAGTGTGGTTGGGCAGTTCAGTCTGGGATTGAAGTTCAGGTGTGGATGGAGTGAAAAAGGAACACATCCTCATAAAATTGAACATTTCTGGAAATGAATGTTTTCTTAGTATCAAGGTTGTAAAGTTTATAACCTTTACAACCTAGGGGATACCCAAGAAATATGCATTTAGTAGCCCTTGGATCAAATTTAGATCTGTTAGTTATAAGTGTAGATGCATATGCCAGACAACCAATCACTCTAAAATGATCATATGTGGGGGTTTTATTGTGAAGAACTTCAAAAGGTGATTTGTTTTGCAAAACTTGCGTAGGAATTCTGTTTATGATATGGGCAGCTGCAAGGATGCAATCAATCCAGAATGTAAGAGGTAAGTGAACATGGAAAAGTAATGCCCTAGCAACTTGAAGTAAGGTTGATACTTCCTTTCTACCCTACCATTTTGTTGAGGAGTTTCTACACAAGATGTTTGGTGCAAAATCCCATGATTTGTATAAAAATCAGATAAAATGAATTCTGTGCCATTATCAGATCTTATGAGTAGTGACCATGTTTGAAAAATGTATGAGACTTTGTTTTGTATCTGATTTGACACTTAAAAGATAAATCCAAGTCACTCTGGTGTGATCATCAACAATTGTTAAAAAATATTTAAATCCTTCATGGGAAGTAACAGAAAATGGGCCCCATAAATCACAATGAATTAGATCAAAAGATTCAGAAGCAATAGAATGACTGATTGGAAATGAAAGCTTTCTTTGTCTAGTAAAATGACACACATCACATGGATTAGAATGCATGTCAGTGCAAGATGAAGAAGTAATATGCAATTGATTCAACTTTGAGTAAGATAAGTGTCCCAATCTGAAATGCCATGTATCATTATTGACAGAAGCAGAACATACAGTCTCAGTCTCATGATTTACAGGTAAAGGATAGTTTACAAGTAAATTGCATTTGTTAGAATCAGACATATCAAAGTAATAGAGGCCCTCTTTGAGGTCAGCAGAACCAATCTGATTCTGTGTTAGCATGTCCTGTACAACACAATGGTTTGACAGAAATTGAACAATGCAATTGATAGAAGAAACCAATTTAGAGACAGAAATCATATTAAAACTGAAGCTAGGCACATACAGAGCATCATGAAGGGTGATAGATGCAGTCGATTGAACATCTCCTCTATAACATGCTTGTGTAAATTGTCCATTTGGCAAATTTATGTTTATTAAAACAGCTTTTGGAGTTGCATAAAAAAATGAAAGGTCACATATCATATGATCTGTGGCCCCTGTATCAATAATCCAAGTATCTTTAGACATTTTACTAGTTACCATGCATATAGAGGGATTAGAGATACCTGTTGCATTTTGAATAGCAGTAGCCACAACAGGAAATGACTGGTTGTTTGTTCTGTTCTTGTGACTTTTTGAAGGCTACAAACTCATGAAACAAATCATCAGTAATGGAATGTGATGAGTTAGTTGGGGGTGCATTTGGTTCAGTTTGAGTGAAGTAGGCTGAGGGTTTAGGTGCAAAAGTTTCAGTTTGAGTGAAGTAGGCTGAGGGTTTTGGTGTGGATCTAGGTCCTTTGGGTCCAATCCATTTGGATGGATAACCAACAATTTGAAAGCATTTATCAGCTGTATGACCATTATACCCACAATGAGTGCATTTGAGTTTTTTTCTGTCTTTGAAATGCAGCTTGTGGGTGTTTGGTTGAGGTTGGAATGTTTTGGCAGCCATAGCAACATGATCAATGAATTGAGGCTTATTGTTAAGGATCTTTGTGTTTCCTCTTGAAGAAGTCGGAAATACACTTTGGAGAGTGATGGTAAATGTGTAGAAAGGAGAAAATGGCTGCGAAGTGGAGTGTAAGAATCATTTAACCCAACCAAAAACTTCATCACACAATCATTGTTCTGAGACTTTGCCATAGCCTCAAAAATATTACAGGTACATGAAGTAAAAGCACCACAACTACACTTGACAATAGGTCTGTAGGTGACATACTCGTCCCACAATGATTTAAAAATATTATAATATTGAGTAACAGATTGTGGACCCTGAGCAATGGTACTAAGGGATTTTTCAAGATGAAAAACCCTAGGACCGCTGCTAAGGACATAACGAGTTTGCAATTCAATCCAAACATCAGGAGCAGTAGTGAAAAATAATAATGATTGGCGTATATCCTTACAAACATAATTGAGAAGCCAGGAGAGTACCAAATTGTTAGCGCGTAACCAGGACATATAGAGAATTGGATTACCAGACGCCGATGGTCCAGGTAGAGAACCGTCAACAAATCCGAGTTTGTTCTTGACGCTGAGTGCCATGAGGACGGCGCGAGACCACGAGACGTAGTTCTCCCCGTGGAAAGACTCTGCAACGACTAGGGCACCAGGATTATCGCTCGCGTGCAAGTAGTAAGCAGAAGTGGGATCATCAGAAGGATTGACCGTCGTCGTCGTCGTAATCAGTGTTGCCATTGAGAAAAATCACAGATCGACTATAGAAATAACAGAGATCGAGTAGATCTAACAAATCGAAGAACTAGGGTTTCGCTTTTAGAACAACGAATAGATCGAAGAAGAAAGAAAAAAGAAAACAGATCGAGTAAGAATCAGTAGAGATTCAGCGGAATAAGATCAAAGAAACACATGATCGGCGAGAATTGGCCGGCGAATGATACCATAATGAACTCTGAAGAACACAGAGAAAAGGAAGAACATCGAGAGAAAAGAAAAAAGGCGATGAATATTGAAATGAGAAAAATTACTGTACAATGGTGTTGGTGTTACATATTTATACTTAAGGTTTGAGAGAGGAATGCTAAATAGTAAATGACAACTTTAACCTAATTACAGCTCTATTAACTTAAGCCTTAATACAAATAGTGTAATATACTAATATTAAGTCTACTGCACACTCTACCTGGAGGGACATCACACTCTTAGGGGCCTTCTCAACAACTATATCTTCAATATTGTAATAAATTGCATGTTAAACTGGATTAACATTGTAATGGATAGATCAGATTCACATGTTCATTCAAGATTTTGAATTTAATTTCTGTTGAGCTAGTCGTGTTACGCCGGTGAGTTAATAAATAACCTACTTACTTGCCCTGCCCACCAATCCTTTATGTTACTGTTGCAAGGTCCACACTGAAAAGCCGATACATGAATGATAAATGATAAATTGCTGCTAAACTAACCGGGATCCAGAGCTCCAATCCGTCAAACACACTAACCTATAAAATTCATTTAATTGGAAACTACAAACAATACTCTACTTTGCAAAATAACCATTTTTTAATAGGTAAGAGAACTACATAACATCAAGAAAGTATTTTTATGGCTAAAGCATGTCCAGTGTTGAGCTGTTTATGCCTTATTTATGGCCATGCGCACCTACACAGTCTGCAGCTCGAACCATAGTCAAAGGAAAAGCCATTTGCTAAAAAGTTCCATTAAAATAAAAAAGTAAACAAAAATGATCAGATGATGAAAAATTTTAAATTGATGGTCAGATTTCCCAGATTGTCTTAAGACAACAAAAGGTACACCGAAGCAAGGAATCCCATTTACTCAATCTTCCTAACAACTGATCGGCCGACACCAAATTCTCCGCTTCTGAACCATGCAACAAATCGAAAACAACACAACAGCTGAGGAACTACAAAAACATTGAAATTACAAAACATGACTACTAAGCCTCAGAAGTACCTTGCAACAACTCTTGTCACATTATGCTGCTGTACATGTACTGCAAGTCTGTAACTTGACCCCCAGCCCACCTCCAACTCATAGCTACAAAAACTACCCTTGAAAATTCACTTATTACAATATAACCCAGCCACCTTCCAAAATTATAACCCCATAAATCTACAAAATCTGTGAAACACGTTCATATTCCAGGACATGTAGGAATTTAGGAAAGATATTCCTGTTTTCAAGTTTCATTTTTTCTTTTCTACATGATCTACACACAGGCGTCGTTTTTTTTTCATCTTCTCTCTTTTTTTTTGTTCTTGAAAAGATGAACACCCAAAACAACAACATCGTCAGTCCTATTTACACTGCCGTCGTCTAAAATTATCATCTGACAAAAGGGACACTAAAAGCTCTCTCAACCTCTCTGCCCCTTCCGTAGGTCTAAGAATAACCGTATTATTCCCCACAAGTGAACATGGATTAGACCCATTTTCCCGAACACCCAAACACCAACCTCCCGGCACAAGCTTCCCTGGCCCACGGGACAATAATTCTCTATCTATTCGGTCGAGCACCAAATCATGACGGTGAAATTTCCTCGCAAAGGGTTGGTTGCTTTTGACCATCCTCTTCATATCGTTGAGGGTAAGATAGTGAGGGTGCTGCTTTGGAGGGTTGTCCCACGATATGAAGTGAAGGTCACTGTTGACGGTTGTGTTGAGAAAGTCCCTGGAATTACAAATTACGGTGTGGAAATAGCCTTCCGGGGAAGATAGGAAGTTGGCATAGTACATGAGAACTGTACGTGGTAGGCTGTCCCACCCCCTTATGCAGTAGTCAATGAAAGGCCGAGAGAGCGCCATCCATGCAGATCCTGTGAGGAGGGAAGTTGAGATTAATGCAGATAAATTTGTGTGTACTGAAAACGAGAAACAATTTTTTATTTTTTTTTACACAGTTGAACAATTTTATTGCTTTATTACTTCTAAATACACAAGATGATATTTTTACATATGCTTAAAACAAATTACTTTGATCATAGGGTATCATCCACTGTTCCAATGTGAGATAATCTCGAGTAGTTTTAGAATATAACAAGTTCATCAAAAGAGAATTACATTATATCACGACAGCTTAGCCTAGTGGTATTGTAGACCCTACTGCTGGGCAGAGGTTCGGGGTTCAAAACTCTTGGGTGCATGACTTGTATGAGTTATACACCAATTTTTAAGGCCATTTAGAAGAAAACAAAAAGATTCGCCAAGCTTCAAGCTTCACTAATGATTTTCAACAGGACACGATTTATTTGTTACTGATTAAATAATGGGACAACTATGTTCCATTCTTTCGTTCAAACTTTCTTAGACATTCATAACATGCAGAAAAATAAATAAAAACCATTAAGAAACCAACCCNATCATTATAAAACAACCCTGAATTAGGATCAGTCAAAAGCTTCTCTGACCATTCATTACAATTCCACCACAATATCTCGCCTCCATTTCTCTGATGAACTTGAAAACTGAACGAGATAAATATCTGGTTTTGTTTATTAAGCTATGAACTTGAGTTAATAGTAAAAAGTATGAGACGAAAAAGATGTTAGACAAACAAAAAAATTAACATGAAAAAGGGAAGTAAATTCAGTAGAGAATATACATTCAAAATCAACAAAGAGATACAGAATACTAAAACAGGTCATTTTCAGTCAAAATTTTAAGCCTAACCAATATACTAGTTGTCCTAAAAGGTCCAAAAGAAACCCAGGAACAGAAAGCACTTCCCTTGCTTCAGCAAACTTCCACTCTCACATTCCAAGCAGTCTCATTTTGTTAGATTCTCTAAATGGAAAGGAAAAACAACTTGGTCTTGTAGAGCAAAATATGAAACATCATATGAACTAAAAACTCAAGTTATAGCCATCTGGAACAAATTGAAGGGGACAAGTGGAAAATAGAGAACACCTTATGGGTTTTTATTGCAGGATAGAGCCCCATGAGCATTCTCAAATTTTTATTTATGGTGTTACATAGCATGAAACAGTTCAAAACTTCTTCTATCAGAATGGCTTGGAAAGAAAAGTACTGACTGATCAATTCAGTCAAAAATACTTCCGAATCATCTCAACAAGATGATAACCAAGGATATATAATCATTCACTCACCTCCCTTATAATATAAACAGGACTCAAGTTCGTAAAATAAAAATATTGACCCAAAACCTCACCTGTAAAAAGTTTAAATGCAGTCGGCACACTTCTTCGCTGTGTAATCCAAAAAACATCAGCTTTTTGTGTCATGTACAACCCTGGGTCAACAATAACTGGTTTTGCCCTCTGGAACCTAAACAAAAACAATGCAAACCATAAAAGTTTTACTACGTCCTCAATGACAATCAGGAAGCCATTGTCTGGAAGCATTTAAAACATGTTTCCAGGAATAAGTAAATATGACTTACTCTTTCCAGCCAATGTTACTAGTATGGTCAATGAAATTCAGATCCCTTGGCAAGTCTGAAAATGCGTGCAATAGATCTAAATCACCGTCATGAAAACACAAAATCAGTATTAAGGATAAATTCTCCCAAAAAATCAATTTCAAGCACACAAAAAAGCCCAAAAAAAATAAATAAATAAATAAACAAATCAAAATCAAACGATTACCATCTTGAGTAACCAGTGGATAATCAGATGCACTGAGATTAATAAACCAATCCCAATCCCCAAATTCCTTCAGCAAAATCGCCGCAGCGTGCAGCGTGTTCGCCACCATCGTCGGCCCCCGGTAGGTGACCAAATTGGCCTTGGAGATCATCCGCACATTTCTGAATCTGAGAAAAACGGGGTGGGTATTTACGTAATTATACAGATCGAGGCGCTCATCGGCGGAGGAATCCGCATCGAGGTGTACGACGTAGCGGTTTCTGGGATGGTAGACGGCCTCAAGCGTGCGGCGGAGCATGGTACCGTCCCCGGAGGACCCGGAGATTGAGTAGGCGAAGCGAGGCGGACGGGGGAGGGCAGAGACAGGTATGGGCCGGAGCTTCGACTCGACGAAGACGGCGGCGGCGGCCGCCGAACGTGAGTAGTAGCGGAGGAGGGGGACGAGCGGCGTGCCGTCAGGGGAGGTTAAGCTGGTGAGGAAGACGATAAAGAGTGCGAAAACGGAGCCGATTGCGAGTGGGAATATCCATTTTCTCTCCATTGCATGTGGGTGCTTCAGATGCAGATAGTATTTCTTCAGTTTCTTCATTTCTGACAAAAAAAAATTCTGAAAAATGCAGAAATTTGAAAATTGAGATTGTTGGGAGTTGGTTGATTTTGATTTTTGATCCTGGGCATCTCCTTCTTTCTCTCTATCTATATGGTGCTCAGAAGATTATGTTGGTTTAAGCATTCACATCTTTTAGACGTTGAGGGCTGACAATATTTTAAGTTTTCAATATTTTGCATAATGATATCCATTTTTTATTTATTTATGAATTAATTGTGTAGTTCAGGTTCTGATTAGGTATTTGAACACGGCTTATACCGAAAAAAAAAAAATCTCCATCAAATGATGTGAATATTATTAGTAGCAGAAATATAGGGAAATAAAGGTTCCTCTTTGTGAAATATGAGTATTGTTATATGCCATTTGGACTTGGAGGATTGATAATGATTGTATAGCTCATGTTTCAAGTCAATCAGTGGAGGATACGGTTAGTGATCACAAAAGCATTCATTAGAGAAGGACATTATATTTCAAAATCCCAAAAACAGATTAGGAGATTATGAACTTAGATAAAATGTATAGTTGTAATTTTATTACAATTTTCAAAATAGTATAAGTAGTTATTTTTTTTTTTTTAAAAAAAAAATTAGTGCGTGGCCCGTGCGATGTACGGAAAAACAATATTACGATTGTATTATAAATTTAATATATAAATAACATTAATCATGATTTACCCATTGTTTTTAAATTAAATCGGGTTGGACATAGTCCGATTGAATGCACCGGACACAGTCCAATGATATTGCTTCCGTTTGAATCATTCCAATAGAATTTCCAACAAAAATATTCCGTTGGAATGACTTTTTCATTGGAACTAGCACGTAGCCCGTGCGATGCACGAGACATAAATATTAATGAGTTATTTCCACAGAACTTGTCCGTTAAGTAGCTCGTGCGATTCACGAGAGATATTAAAGTGGACCATAGGGTTTGTCCGTTCAGACCTAAAAAATAATAGAATTTGATTATCTATCTTTTTACATCTTTTCATCAACGTCATTTTTTTTGTCGGAACATTAAACCTAAGTCTGGTAGCGCTAGCTTGTAAATTAATTAATATATTATCTCGCTCACATGTTTATAATAATATAAATTTGATTTCATTATATATATTTATTCATCGATATAAGAAAAATAACAATTTTACGTAATCTTGTTCCTTGTATAATACTTATATTATTTCATTATAAAATTTATTGTAGTATAATGTCATTATTATTATAAGTTATAGATGTAATCTTCTTCTTCTTTTTGTTTTATGTAATTAAAATATTTAATGTATGTTCATATTATTTATTAATGTAATTAATTTAAATTATGTAAATAAATTTAAAGTAAAACATTTTGTACAAACATTTTACAAAATATACACAAATGTTTTTTTAGAATTTAATTTTTTTACAATAAATAACAGCTTTGAAATTCTATGCAATTATTAAAACCGATTAAATCTTTATTTATAAGCTTGACATTAAAACCGATTTTATGAGATTATTTTAACTAAACCGATGTTATGGAATAAAACAAATCTATACTTACATTTGACTTTTCGAGCAAAGGTAAAATATGTAATGTCAAGCTATAAATACCAAAACAAATCTGTAATTAATGTCATTCTATTTCCAGCAAACATTAATTACCTTTGACTTTTCTGTATACTAAATCTGGTAAATGGGATACCTTTTAATATAAGTATAGATTTAGATAGAAATTGATGATTCCAACTGCTGTTTTTCCAACTGTTTTTTACAATAGGGATTTTCGTTTGAATTTTTATATCCACTCCCGTTGGAAAATCTACCGTTGGATTGTCAAAATCTAATAGAAGTTCCAATGGAAAACGCATTCCAACGGAATATCTTTGTTGGAATTTCCGTTAAGATCTATTGAAAAATTCCAACGGAAATAATAGCATTGGAATTTCCATTGGAATTTCCGTTGGAATTCCATTGAAATATATTCTCGTTAGAATTTTCCATTGGAATTTCATCAGTTTCTTAAAGTGTAGGATCAATATGATTTTCTAAATAAATTTTGTTACATTTAAAATTATTTTAAATAAAATTACATATTTAAATAAAATAAAGATTTATAAATTATTTATCAATTAGTTTAAACATTTGAATTTATAAATTGTTTAGATATTTAAGTAAGAAATTTTATTTAAATTTATTACAAAAGTAATATATATATATATATATATATATATTAAAATTGTTTGTAAATTAAAATATGAACAAACCACAAATGATATAATAAAATAACTTGATCGTTTCGATGACGGTCCGGTTATGAAAACCTTATATTTATTGTACATTAATAAAAATTATAATAAAATATTATTTTATACACAAAATATCAATAAAATGATATATAAATATTCATGAATCATTAAGCATGTTTTCATAAAAGTATTGTTAATATGCTTATTTGAAGTTTGGACTACGTCACATTCACGTAATAAGGTATAGGTCAAAATCTTTTTCACCCCATTATATATCTATTCTTTCTTTTACACACCACCCCGTCAAATAACTTCTTTTACACCAAAAAATTCACGAAATGCTATGCGATATTACACTCGCATGTCCAAATGAACCAACGCATATCCAATCGACGCATAATTTATGACTATGTGAAAACATATCGCATATTTAGGGATCACATATCCAAATCAAACGCATAATTTACAAATATGCGAACATCTTTGGCATTTTTAAGAATCGCATATCTAAATCGAATGCAACATAATTTACGATGATTATCCGCCTTCTTTTCGCAGGGCTATATCGACCTTGCGAATTTATGAATATGCGAAATGTTTCGCATATAATTCGCATAATTTGTTGACTTCGCATTTTTTAATATTTGCAATTTTTCATATCCAAGTCAATCGCATAATTTACTAATATGCGAAGAACTTTCGCATATATCCAGTATAATGCCGGATGTTTACAATTATGCGATAATTTTTCGCTCGCATATTTAAGAATCGCATAACCAAATCGAATAAAGCATAAGTTATTTGACGATTATGCGCCATTTTTTTGCATATATGTCGCATAAGTTACGCACCTTATTAAATTGACTGCTTTTTCACAGGTGAGGATTTTGTCTCTGCATTTAATTATCATGCAGGCAAAAAAACAGTGATCTCTAACAATTTAACGTCTGCACTCTGCACCATTCATCTACTGCATTTTTCTGTTTCTTTCGTTTTAATTGTTTTTGTTGTTCACTTATTTGAATGGCTAGCAATCGTGTTAAAGTATTCCTGCACTATCGTGGTTCGTTTTCCGGGGATTCATATCTTGATGGAGTGGCAGAGCTGATGAGAATAAATTACGGCCAACAAATGTATTCTGAAGTAGTTTCTCGTGCTCAAGCATTATTAAAGGCCAATCATTGTAATTTTGAGTACATATTGTGGGCAGTATTTGATGGAATGGAACGAGCTGTGAAGATGAAAATCGAATCCAGTGACGATATCTTAGAGCTGATTGAAGAACAAGGAAATCCCAACATTTACCTGGAGTTGGAGAAGCGAGTAAATGTAGGGATTCCAGGGACGGTGCAACAAAGCTTTACATAAATGATGGCGTCCCCAAGGTGTGTTTCCTAGTTCTTTTGGTGTTGGTAGTTCTGCATTTTCCCACGAGGCCCCATATTCATATCAAGCAGGCCCTAGTTCATTTACACATACTGGATATCCTCGGGGCGCTGATGAAGGATCATCACAATCACGTCGAGTACGGCGTCAGCAGATGTGCTCTTGGTGCGGGGCCACAGGGCATAACAGGGCAAGAACAACATCAAGACGCCCGAGGAGATGTCGTACTTGTAAAGAAACAGGTCACAAATCGTCATCTTGTCCACATGTCCATTCCATGACAATTTAGATGAAGATAGAGACGTTATATATTATGTACTTCATTGGAGTTTTTAATTGGCAAAGCAATTTAATGGAAAAAATACTTTTAACGGGAAAAATACTGTGTTGGTACTTGGTACCCTAAGTTGTGACCTGCACACACACGATTGACTAACAGAAAGTAGTGAAACTGGGTTGATTGCGTGATCCGCATAACATGTCCCATATTAATCGCACAATTGGGTTGATTGTGCGATTCCCATATCATGTCCCATAATAATCCACAACTGGGTTGATTCGCAGGTTCATTCGCCTAGTCTTCATTGATTTATTGCCTGCACTGCATATCCAAATCAAAAGTTCTTCGCATATTATTCGCATAAGTTACGCACCGCACTGATTGATTGTCTGCTCTTACACGTAAAAAACTGTGAAGATTTGCATGCTTCCTCATTTAGTTGTCGAGTTGATGTATATCTGTCTAGCTTTAAATGCAATATGTAAATATTAACCTTTCATTCTCTTTTTTGAATAATTAACCTTTCACTTCTCAAAACCCCAGCATTCGATCGGAAAAAAAAAATAGAAACGATTTCACCCTATGAAAAGATCTCGATCCGCTTCCGTGGCATGGACTGGACAGAGGAAGAAGAAGATATTTGCTACCGATTGTTTTTCAAAAAGTGCCGTGAGAAGGCAGACATACACCAAGGCCCTATGTCCAATTCCTTGTGGGCAGAAATTTCAAAATTAATGAACCAAGTGCTGAGTTATGCATTGAAGAGGGAGTATACTATTGCCCAAGTTCGGCGAAAGATTCAGCGGCTCAGAAATTATTTTGATGAATTTTCTGCTTTCCTGAGGATTCCAGGCGTCCTCTTGCGTCCTGGTTCAGGCTTTGTAGAGGTTAACCACATGTACTGGGTGCATGTGCGGGATGAGGTAAATTTCATTTGATTTTTTATTTTAGTTTGTTCAAGCATGCATTTTTGTGACGCGGCCATAATAACCTAAAAAGATTCAAATTTATTACACAGGAGACCGACACTCAGGCATTTTCCCGTTCGGAAGGATTCCCTTGGTATCGTGAGTGTTACGAGGTTTTTACCGAGCGCAACGTAGCGGATATCGACTAGGAGGGTGGGCCTGGTGCTTCGGTTGACGACTCAATCTGGGGGGAAGACATAGACGATAACGGTGATGATCAGATCCATCAGCCACCACCAAAGGTGGAAGTCATCGATCTCGACCCTTAGAATCCACTGGACATGTAATCAAAAGTTGTTTGGCTTATTTTGTTGGACTGACTGCAACAATAATAAATATTTTTTTCTTCTGTCAAGTATATGTGTTTAATCATGATTCATATGTCAAAACAAAACAAAGTGCGATAAATTGCATTGTGTTCCCAGCAAAATCAACGACAATATTCGATAGGGAAATTATTATTGAAAGAAATTTCGTAGAACTGTGAACAAAGTGCGATAAATCGCATTGTGTTCGCATAACGTAATGAAAAAATAAGTAAAAGTAATTTATATTATATTTTGTAATCGCATATCCAGGCCAGATCAACCGCATCATTTAGGATATGTGAAAAACTATCGCGTAATTAGATTATCGCATATCCAAATCGAACGCTGCATTATTTATGAGTAACGAAATAATTTACGATTCGCATATCCAAATCTATAAGGCTAGATAACAATCGATTATGCGTATTGTTTTTGCATATTTACGAATCGCATATCCATATAAACCTCGCATAATGTATCAATATGCGAACACATTTCAAATAGTGTTGCGCACCGCATTGGTTGACTGCTTTTTTTTCACCTAATAGTTATTTTCAATTCAGTCAAAGAACAAGAATTTTCCAAAAATTACTATTTATCAACTCTGCGAATAATATGCGACGTTTGTATATCGAAATTTTGTACGTCGCAGAATAGAAAATTTACGAAAACAAACTTATAAAAAAATATATATGTTATTCGTTATAGTACGAGTGTTATGCTCGGTTTTTATGCGGAATTGTTTCGAGTAATAATCGCAGGTTCATTCGACTATTAGTAATTAAGTCACAGACCAAAAACTTTCCAAAAATTAAATTTTATAAAATTAATTATTTACCAACTGGGGGACTAATATGCGACGTTTTTATGTCGCAACTTCGCATGTCGCAGAATAGAAAATTTACAAAAATGAACTTAAAAAAAATAAAAAAATATATGTGATTCGTTATAGTACGAGTGTTATGCACGGTTTTTATGCAGAATTGTTTCGATTAATAATCACATGTTCATTCGCCTATTAGTAATTTAGTCACAGACCAAAAACTTTCCAAAAATTAAATTCTTTACCAACTGGGGGACTAATATGCGATGTTTGTATGTCGCAATTTCACATGTCGCAGAATTGAAAATTTACAAAAACAAATTTTAAAAAATACATGTTATTCGTTATAGTACGAGTGTTATGCGCGGTTTTTATGCATGTTGATTCGCATAACAATAGTCTTCAATTTATTAGTAATATAGTCACAGACAAAGAAATTTCCAAAAATTAAATTTTATAAAATTAATTATGCAGCAATTCGGCGAATAATATGCGACGTATGTATGTCACAATTTTACATCGACTCAACTACTTTACATCGATTGAAATAGTTTACAAGTAACCTGTAGCCTTACATCGGAACAAACGAATTACTAGATAGAGGCGGCTACGACAACGAGTTGAAACAGCAGTTTGAAAGATCAAAAGCAATTGTATGCATGTGCCGAAGGTTTCGAAATCGGGAGGCTAGGTAAGTTCATGGGATCGGTCCATCAAGTTAGCTTCGAAAAAGAACCATCACGCCTCTCACGTAAACTTTTTTGTCCAATGGCTTTCCGCAATCGCATTTCAATCCGCTGAAGAACACGCTTACATTCGGAAAATCATTAAACCAACAATTTGTGTCTCCACATTTGAAGTACCTTCTGGGCGGCATGTCGTCAACGTTAATTTTCAACCGACGACATTCAACCTCAGACGATCTTATCGGGTTGAGTAGCATGTTCTTCATCTGTCTACGAGTGGAATGTATACAGAGGTTGAGAGAAATGGAGAATGAATTTATCACTTTCGATCAACATTTTAAAGTCTCCGTACTAAGATTTCATAAAGAGATTGGATGGTTAATCACCTTTGTCTTTGAAGGCGTGCTCGCTTTCGCCGTCGTAGGCGCCTCAATCTAGTATACCCAGTAAGACCAAACAGTTCGCAGGAGATTCCACGCCTTCCAAAACACATGGTCGCTTCCAAATTGTTCAGCCTACGATTTTGCAAAGCTCCATGGGAAGTGACCATGTGCCTGGGCAGACATGGGATCCCCAGGGTGAGTGCATGGACTTCCTGGGGATAGTAGATTAGGGAGCCTACGACGGTGAGAGAGAGCAAGCCCTTAAATACAAGAGGAGGATCAGGACCATTCTCTCTATTCTTCAACACTCGATTTTCCTCAACCAGACGTACAACAGAGGTAGCTGAGATGAGACAATTGAATTAGAATCAGGACCATTTTCTCGACCATTTTCTCAGAGTTGAAGTATTCTTATTGTCTTATATCAGCTACCTTTATTATAGAAGAATCAAGAAGATATCGATCCTCCTTGATACGCACGCCATTATTAATTTACCGAAGACTGAAGGGACGTTTCGGAGCGACTCTTCAAATTCGCAGAACTGCAATCAAAATGCGATGAATCGCACTTCATTCGCATAACGTAATGACAATAAATGATTTCGCATATCTGGTTAAAGAAGATATACAGTCATATACTCGAAGATATCTATCCTCCTTGATACACACGCCGTTATTATGCGCCGAAGACTGGACGTTTCGGAGAAGAGGCGCCTCTTCAAATTCGTAGAACTGCGAACAAAATGCGATGAATCGCACTTCATTTGCATAATGTAATGACAATAAATGATTTCGTATATCTGGTTAAAGAAGAGGTACTCAAGAAGATATTATTGCCCTCCTTGATACGCGCGCCGTTATTAATTTGCCGAAGACTGAGGGGACGTTTCGGAGCGACTCCTCAAATTCGCAGAACTGTGAACAAAATGCGATGAATCGCACTTCATTCGCATAACGTAATGACCATAAATGATTTCACATATCTGGTTAAAGAAGAGATACTCAAGAAGATATTATTATCCTCCTTGATACGCGCACCGTTATTAAGTTGCCGAAGACTGAGGGGACGTTTCGGAGCAGACTCCTCAAATTCGCAAAACTGTGAACAAAATGCGATGAATCACACTTCATTCGCATAACGTAATGACAATAAATGATTTCGCATATCTGGTTAAAGAAGAGATACTCAAGAAGATATTATTATCCTCCTTAATACGCGCGCCGTTATTAATTTGCCGAAGACTGAGGGGACGTTTCGGAGCGGACTCCTCAAATTTGCAGAACTGTGAACAAAGTGCGATGAATTGCACTTCATTCACATAACGTAATGACAATAAATGATTTCGTATATCTGGTTAAAGAAGAGATACTCAAGAAGATATTATTATCCTCCTTGATACGCATGCCGTTATTATGCGTCGAAGACTGAGGGGACGTTTCGGAGAAGTGGCGACTCTTCAAATTCGCAGAACTACAAACAAAATGCGATGAATCGAACTTCATTCGCATAACGTAATGACAATAAATTGCATTCTATTTCGCATATGTGGTTACAAAATTATACGTAAAATATAAATAATTGTTTTTAATGCGCCGACCTTTTCATTAAAACAACTGTCATTTAAATTGAGAGTCGAAAGACGCAACATTTAATCGCAGAACGGCGAAAATGTGCGATAAATCGCATATCATTCGTGTCCTTGAAATTATGGAGGGAAAAAATCCCGCCCACTGACTTAAACATTTTAGAGCAGTGCCACAAGGTCGAAGAAGAATGAAATTAAGGTGCAAGTGAAGGATAAACAATAATGAAATGAAATTGATAATAGAAGAAAGCCACTTATTAAAAAATATAACAATGTTCAAGCTTAATCTTAGATAAAATGTTGATCAGAAGTTAAGGTAGATGGATATATAGATAGATATTGTTTAATAATGTGATTATGTTTGAAAGTGAGAATAGAAGAAAGCCAATTATTAAAAAATATAATAATGTTCAAGCTCAATCTTAGATAAAATGTTGATTACGAGTTAAGGTAGATAGATAGATAGATAGATATTGTTTAATAATGTGATTATGTTTGCAAGTGATAATAGAAGAAAACCACTTATTAAAAAATATAATAATGTTTAAAATTACCTTCTGGGGAGGTCCGTTTGATATCCAAAAACTGCTCAGCAACAGTCGGACAAGTGGGGAATGTTGGGGCGAATCAGAAAAGTAGACCCTCTCTTAATTCGAATACGTAACATGATCTCCTTCAACCCAACTTTAGAAGCGAAGCGAAGTGAAGTTCAAGCTCAATCTTAGATAAAATATTGATTAGGAGTCAAGGTAGATAGATAGATAGATAGATATTGTTTAATAATGTGATTATGTTTGAAAATGATAATAGAAGAAAGCCACTTATTAAAAAATATAACAATGTTCAAACTCAATCTTAGATAAAATGTTGATTAGGAGTCAAGGTAGATAGATAGATAGATATATATTTTTCAATAATGTGATTTTGTTTGAAAGTGACAATAGAAGAAAGCCACTTATTAAAAATATAATAATGTTCAAGCTCAATCTTAGGTAAAATGTTGATTAGGAGTTAAGGTAGATAGATAGATAGATAAATATTGTTTAATAATGTGATTATGTTTGAAAGTGACAATAGAAGAAAGCCAGTTATTAAAAAATATAATAATGTTCAAACTCAATCTTAGATAAAATGTTTAGGAGTTAAGGTAGATAGATAGATAGATAGATATTGTTCAATAATGTGATTATGTTTGAAAGTGATAATAGAAGAAAGCCACTTATTAAAAAATATAATAATGTTCAAGCTCAATCTTAGATAAAATGTTGATTAGGAGTTAAGGTAGATAGATAGATAGATAGATATTGTTTAATAATGTGATTATGTATGAAAGTGATAATAGAAGAAAGGTACTTATTAAAAAATATAATAATATTCAAGCTCAATCTTAGATAAAATGTTGATTAGAAGTTAAGGTAGATAGATAGATAGATAGATATTGTTTAATAATGTGATTATGTTTGAAAGTGATAATAGAAGAAAACCACTTATTAAAAAATATAAAAATGTTCAAGCTCAATCTTAGATAAAATGTTGATTAGGAGTAAAGGTAGATAGATAGATAGATAGATATTGTTTAATAATGTGATTATGTTTGAAAGTGATAATAGAAGAAAGCCACTTATTAAAAAATATAATAATGTTCAAGCTCAATCTTAGATAAAATGTGGATTAGAAGTTAAGGTAGATAGATAGATAGATAGATAGATATTGTTATAATGTGATTATGTTTGAAAGTGATAATAAAAGAAAACCACTTATTAAAAAATATAATAATGTTCAAGCTCAATCTTAGATAAAATAATGATTAGGAGTTAAGGTACATAGATAGATAGATAGATATTGTTTAATAATATGATTATGTTTGAAAGTGATAATAGAAGAAAACCACTTATTAAAAAATATAATAATGTTCAAGCTCAATCTTAGATAAATGTTGATTAGGAGTTAAGGTACATAGATAGATAGGTAGATATTGTTCAATAATGTGATTATGTTTGAAAGTGATAATAGAAGAAAGCCACTTATTAAAAAATATAATAATGTTCAAGATCAATCTTAGATAAAATGTTGATTAGAAATTAAGATAGATAGATAGATAGATAGATAGATAGTTATTGTTTAATAATGTGATTATGTTTGAAAGTGATAATAGAAGAAAGCCACTTACTAAAAAATATAATAATGTTCAAGCTCAATCTTAGATAAAATGTTGATTAGGAATTAAGGTAGATAGATAGATAGATAGATATTGTTTAATAATGTGATTATATTTGAAAATGATAATAGAAGAAAGCCACTTATTTAAAAATATAACAATGAGCATTTTATACATTATTATGAACGGGTAATTTAAAGAATAGACTATTATATCATAAGATATAAAATCAAGTATTGGTTTAGGGTTTAGGGTTTAGGTACTTTTTAGGGGTATGCGATTTCGCATACCCCCATCGCACTTCTACTCGAAAGATTATTTTTTATTTCTTTCATCTTTCAGTTATGCGAATTGCCGCATATTGCTCGCATATCCCCATCGCACTTCTACTCGAAAGTTTATTTTTTATTTCTTTCATCTTTCAGTTATACGAGGGGTATGCGAATTGTCGCATATTGCTCGCATACTCCCTTCGCACTTCTACTCGATTTTTTTTTGAAATTCTCTATTCTGAGACATACAAAATTGCGACATACAAACGTTGCATATTATTCGCTGAGTTGGTGCATAATAAATTTTTTGAAATTTTGAAACCACTGACAGTTGGAACGTTACGGCCGATTTTCGAGGCGTCTTTTCCGCTTTTCGAAACGTCGTTTCCTCCGTCTACATAAAGCAGGTAATCTTCGATTCTTATCATGTCCCTTCTCTTTCTTCCCCTCCGGCCCCCAGAACTCTTTGGTAATGGCCCTCCGTTTTTCCCTTCTCTTGTATATGAGAACCAGTTCGCCGGAGATAAACCAGAATTATAAAAATTCTTTCTTTCGACCTGTGAGACAATTCTTTAAGATTACTGTGTCCAAATTGAGAACTCCTAACCTTCCGAATTCGTCGGAGGAAAAAATTCAACGAGCGAAAATTCCGCTATCCAACTTTATTAACGTGGCCCCCGGAGGAAACATATATGCCGAGACAGCGACGATGAATATCAAACTTCCGGGCTCGGCTATTGCCGGATCAACTGTGGGAAGATTGAACCTCTGGCGTAACAATCGGCTCTCTGTCAGAGGCAATGTTGGCCTCAATCCTCTCGAGGATGTGGTCGGCCAGGTCTTCATGACAGAAGAAGGTGGTTGGTCTGCGGTGATCTCTTCCCTGAACCCGTCTGAGCCTATCAGTTGAGAGCGGGTCGTCGCACTCGTGGTGGTCGGGACGGAGCTCATGCTGGAGTTCTACCTGGAACTCCACAAACAAGCTCGTCCTTCGATTTTTTATTTATTTTTTTACCTTGAATCAGCTCGGGTTGAAGCGATTGTAAAAGCAGTAGTTGTTAGGCTCGTCCTTTGATTTTTTATTTATTTTTTACCTTGAATCAGCTGGGGTTGAAGCGACTGTAAAAGCAGTAGTGTAGGGATTTCTGTTTGATCTTTTATTCTGTGAAATACAAACGTCGCATATTATTCGACTAGTTGGTGCATAATATTTTTTTGTAGAATTTAGTTTTTGGAAAACTCCGAACAGTTTAGGCTAATAACTTGTGACAATTAGTCGAAACAATTTCGCATGCCAACCGCACAACATTCGTAGTATAATCGAAGAATTTGTTAAATAAAAATTGTTTTTAGAAATTTTCTATTTTGCGACAAACATAATTGCGACAAATAAACGTCTTATATTATTCGCCGAGTTGATGCATAATAATTCTTTTTTGTAGGATTTAATTTTTTGAAAATTCTTGTTTAGACGAATGAACATGATACTATTAGTCGAAAATATTCCGCACAACAAACAAACGCATAATACTTGTATAATCGACGAATATATTTTTTTTTTTAAATTTGTTTTTGGAAATTTTCTATTACTCGACATACAAACGTCGCATATTATTCGCCTAGTTGGTGCATAATAAGTTTTTTTTGTAGAATTTAATTTTTAGAAAATTCTAAACAGTTTAGGCTAATGAATCTGCAACAATTAGTCGAAACAATTTAAAATACAAACCCCATAACATTCATAGTATAATCGAAGAATTTATTTAAACAAAAATTGTTTTTGGAATTTTTTTATTCTGCGACACACATAATTGCGCAAACAAACGTCGCATAATTCATTCGTAGGTCAACCGCAAGATATTCGCAGACCCCTTTTTCTGTAAAACAATTATTATTAAACAATTATTAAAATATTTTGTGTTCGAAATGGTCTGATAAATGCGATTCTTTATGCGACCGTCTCGCGACGGATATGCGTTTGTTCGCAGGTCTACCGCAGGGTATTAAACTGCGAAACCATTATATTTATTTATTTATTAAAAAAATTAAAAATGCATCAGAATTGCGAAAGTATGGCACTTGTTACGCGAATATTACTCGACTGCTGTCTTTTCGCATATTTTGTCGTAAAGTTTATTATTTAAAAAAAAAATGAAAGCAAAACGTCTCATATACTCTACTTTCACAGTTGCACCTCTTCAGAGAAGAAATCAAAAAAGAAAGAGGGGAGAAAAATTGGGATTCCATCTTGCGACATTAATTCGCATATTTGGAAGCAAAAGAACTGTTAGAAATTTAAAAAGAACCAAAAATTCTAAACAGTTTAGGCTAACCTATCGTTCCGGAAAAACAAAAAAAAAATAAACAGTTTAGGCTAATGAACCTGTGACAATTAGTCGAAACAATTTCGCACACAAACCGCCTAACATTCATAGTATAATCGAAGAATTTATTTAAACAAAAATTGTTTTTGGAAATTTTCTATTCTGCGAC